AAAGATGAAGACATTTTTTTATTTTCTAGTGGAAAGAAAGTTAGTTCGCGCCTGACACTATTTTCATCACAGAATGCATGCCGAATATGGTATCGTGGTCATTATTAGTGATCACTGTTAAGAAATTACAGTTGTAAGTGCGACTTTGTGACAGCGTTCCGATCCAGATGAACGGAGACAGTCCCCAATTTACTGAACACTGGAATCATACTTCCTCTTGACAATGAGCGAAAGACGGGGTCAACTCAAAAATTCCACTTATGGATGGTGACGGCGATAACATCCTCCTTCGGCTTTCAAAGTGTGAGGTTAAGTGCATATTCTTTCATTATGGGTTGTAATTGCGCTATGAAAAAATCAAAAGTGGATTCATACAGAGGAAAATCCAGTGTTGAATGACGTAAGCAAGCACTATGAATTGAAGTTCAGTATAGTTGTGGAGATGTTTGCTTTTGTTATTGGTTAACGACTTAACAGCTCAGTTTAAAAGAATTTGTGACAGGCAGGTAGTGCCCCAATATGAAGATGTGTTATTTGACTGCTCATTGTCCAGAAATAGAAAAATGGTTATTAAGGGAGAAAAGACAGCACTATGATTTCATACAGCAGCTCTTTGCCAACCTGCACTAGGCTGGATCCCAGCATACTGTTATATATTTAAAAATAGGGATTTTATGACAAAACGACAAAAGAAATACCAAATAAAGATAGTGTTACTAGATGGATGGCCACAATCTTGAAATGACTCAATCCCAAATGCTTCGGGGAAGCCAGAACCAAATCAGGGCCAACCTTTTGTGCAAGAGAACATCTCATTGTAAATGTGGTGAAGAGGAGTATGGTAGCATTTAATTCAAAAAATCCCTTCGAAAGAAAGTATCCCAGTTAGGTGGGTTTGTTAATTCACCCTCGATATGCTCAGTGAGCTGGTGAGTTGGTCTATAATCCATCTCATTACTCAGTAAAAGCACACAGAGTTTATATCCGATAGATCTGATGAGTGTTGGTATTATTCCTCTGTTTGTGCTCTTTTTAGATCTGAATAATTCAACACACATCTGCTTCCCTTTTCCAGAATTTGACCAATGAATATGTTTAGCTTTATTCAGTGCTATTCCTCTTTGGACATGTAATTGTCCCCTTTTCTTACGAGTAATAGAGGATTTTTTCCCATCCAGAATAATATGTTCACTCAGAATTTCAGTTAAAATATTCGCCTTGTCAGATTCGAAATAAAGAAAATGGAAAATTTCTTGGTGTAATTCTGTGAAGTTATTGAAATATGCATAACAACATCCAAGATCTCCCCGAATATTAATTTTGCGGCCATTCTTCACCTATGAAAAATATATTGAAGATTTCCAGTGACACTTTTGAAATATAAGTAGTGGAGAGGATATTGTTTAAATGAATCTGAGTAGGTAAAGGCGCGATTGTACCAATGCTCTGTGATTACGAGTCGTCAGTGGTGAGTGTTGTTTTGGCAATGAGATGTGTTCATTTTACAATTAAAGCATTCTTCGGATGATGGAACTATAGACGATCAACGGCAAAGCAGCAAAAGAGCAACAATGACGAAGGTAATTCTCTTTATGCAATGTTGAGAAATTGATCTTTGTGCATTTTGTGAAGTAATAACTGTGCTTAGCTATGGTGTGCCTTGTCAGAAAGTATTTCTTTAGGTTGTTCTTTAATCTACAGTCATAAAAGTATCTACTCATCCATTAAGTAGTTAAAATTGTGGATGGACTAATCGGTCTAGAATGAGCGTTGGAAGGCTACGTTCAGATTTGTTGACTGAGGCAAAAGGCTTGAAGCCCATGAAAATCCTTTTCTAGTGAATTTCTGTGCTTGTTTAAACCTTTCTTGGATAAGTCAGATGCGGTTGCTGACACCACTTCTTCTGAGAGTCGATTTCAGGAATCCATGCTGTGCTCCGGATAACAAATTTTTGTTTTTCAGATATGCCATGATACTTTTCTTGATGATTCCTTCTAGTTTCTTGATTAAAGTGCTGATCAGACTAATAGGCATCTAGTTTGGAGGGCTCTGCCTTGATCCTCCTTTGCGGCTGAGGGATGCAATGTTGTCTCTCCAGTCACGTGGTAACACTCCATTTGAGAGAGATAGCTTGAAGATCGTGATCAATGAGCCGGTTCTATGGGCTGATAGCTCCTTGAGAAGCCTTGGATAAAAATTATTCAGGACCATCGATTCCCCTGCATCTAGTTTATTTAGGCATTTGAACACTGTCTTCGTCAACATCAACGGAGTTAATCCTGCGTTCCTCTGACGCGGCCAGATCTGATCCTACGGGGAGTAACGACTCTTGTGTGAAGACTGCCATTGCTTCTGCTTCTTCTTGATCCTCTTCGATTGTGCCGTTGTCAATAGTCAGATTTGGGACCACATTAGATGCCTTATTCCTGAAGTTCATGTATGAAAAAATTTTCTTAGGTTGTGCCTTTGCATTTTTAACCAGATGTACTTCGAACTTCATCCTTGATTGGCGGATTTCTGCAATAGCCTCGTTCCTAGTGACGTTGTATGACTTCTTAGCCTCTAGAGTCTCAAATGTGGTGAACAGGTTACAGCATTTGTGTTTTCTTCTGAGTAACTCACGAACCTCTCGGTGTATCCAAGGGGGCAATGTTTCCGACCCTTAGTGACAGATCAAGGGATGAAAGGTTCAGTTACATGAGCGTTAAGTTTTTTAAACTGGTTCCGTCTGGCTTCTACTTGGGACTCTGGCTGCTGAGACGGTAGCATTTATATCAGCTTTCCAAACGTTTGGTCGAGGTGGGGTTTCGGCCCATGATGCTGTTCCTGTGAACTTGAAAGTGAGCACAGCGTGATCGCTTCTTCCTAAAAAAGGAGGATGTATGAAGTCCACATCCTCACTATTGAAGGGCACTAGGTTCAGCGTTGAGGAGTGCTGTGTCATCGTCTGCATTCCACTTTGGACTGCGGCATGATGTCTTGGCCTATACATTTAGTTCTGCAGCGTGGAAGTGTGCACGTTTCACTTTCGTATGCGAGAGCTTCAGCGCTACGGACGGTTATGCATTTATTGAGGTAGATGACTACGCCACCTCCTTTGCGGCTAAGTCAGTCCATCCTATGCACTATAAAGTTTGTCAGGTTAACTTCGGTATCAGTAACATCGGATTTGGGCCCTGTCTGTGTGATGGTAATTATGTCTGTGTTTCCGGAGTCTATCATATTACCCAGCTCAGTTCTTTTGTTCAGCAGGCATTTGTGTAGCAAATTGTTATGAACTCAGTATGATGCTTTTGCGGCTACCTACAGAGATTTCACGACCATAAAACTTCGGACTTTGACAACTCGAAAACCTTCAGTCTCAAGGGTTTTCTAACCATTTCGGTCCCGTTCGCTTGGTTCGAGGGCCATAGACTACCTTTTGATGCAGTGTGTTAAGCATGAGTTGGCACGGACGTGTATACTTGATCCCTTCAGAGTTTGGGAGTTGCTTTGTTTTGAGTTTGGTATGACTTTGATAAGGTGTTCTGGCAGATATACTGTATAGTCATCCTATTGATTCTATACAAGTTCTGTATAATTACACCTGATTCTGTTTTTGACAGTGACTTGTCTGATGGGAGCTAGACTAGGTTAAGATCATGTTCAAACCTGACCTTGGAACCTGAAGTCAATGATTTTTCCGCTTTGTGGAGAATAAATGACCTGCCAGAGAGACCAGGTTTGCTTACGTTGGCTTTCTTGCTCTGCAGTGCAAGTGTCTTCCCGTCCTTCGTGGATAGTGTAACCTTTATGAGATTTTAATTTTGCTTTCTGCGGGAGACTATATCACGTAATTCGCTGGCTCCCTGCTCGCTGTCATCCACCTGTATGGGTGAGACTTGATCTACAGGTTCATAGGCAACTTTAGTTGAGGGTTTTCGACCCCTGGCACGCCTTTTTCTGGTGCCAGCAATAGGCGACTAGGTGTTGCAGTTTTCTGTCGCCTTTTCTCTACTGGCACTGAAGGGCTTATCGGGTATCATAGGGGCAGCAGTGGTATCCGGTCTATGGTGGATGCTTTTCTATGCTGAAGGGCATTCATTGAATATACTTGTTTATCTTTAATTAGTGCCTAAATTTGAGTTTGAACATTCACGATGTAATTACTCAGTGATAATTGCTTTCCTTCACGTTCCCAGTGGAACATAGGGCCTCAAGCTAGTGGCTTGAAATTTCTGTAGCAGTGTTTACTTTTTACAGGATGAGTTGCTAGCCTCATGCTCAACCTTTCCTCTTCACCAGCATTATTTCTGGCTTAGCGAGGTAAAGGAGTGCGTCGGCCGGGGATCGAACCCCGAACCATGTACATGGTCGGCGAGCGTCCTAACCGCTATGCCACCGACGCACCGACGCACCGACGCACACTCAGTGATGATAGGCAATAATTTCGTGGACTATATAACTCATGCCATATTTGACCGTTACAAATAAACCTGTAGATGAGTACGGCTACTAAATAATACTCTTCACTTTCCTAATATGTTGATACATTTGGTAGATAGTCGTCTGTTCGTTAAGTAGATGCCAATCAGCTTTCGGTGTTGTGCTATGGTAGGTATCTTCTTATGGATTAACGAACAGACTGATATGAATCTTAGTCCTTAATTTGGATTCTTTTTTCAACATTCGAACCGATTGCCGACAAGTTTCGAAACGTTCGATACTTGTAGTATTTGCGCTAAATTTAGCAGTCCATTACAACTTCTTTGCTTTTATAACTCATTGCTCACAGTGTAATACAGCTCCTATGCCGTTCGGACCTTCGATGTTCAGTTCAGATGACTGGTGTCTGAATTCCGTCCTGCCGAGGCCTAATGGTGTCATAAAGATCACTGAAATTGGTAGTAAATCAATTGGTGAGTTATATAACTAGTGAGTGTTTAATGATTTTTGAATGCAGGCTCAGATGCGTGATACACATAAACTTGTACCGAAGATTGTTTTTTTCTCAGGATGAAATGCGCAATATGGCTTCAGTAAAGCACGAACTTTCACCCAAACTCAAGTCAAATAAAAGTTCTCCTGTGTTATCCAAACTACCCGCTTCTTACTCTGTTGAGAGCAAACGTCGTTCATCTAGTCGGGAACATAGCTCTTCCAGGAGACGACACAAGAAAAGGCATTCATCTAGGTATGTTCCCGAAGTGTCTACTTTTTTGCATTCTCAGATTGTTTTTTGGAAATAATGCAAGTTTTTAGTGGTACTGTTCATTTCATAAATCCAGAAACCCCCATCATTCATTTAGTATTGCTCTCACACTTTGACGCGATGGATTACCGCGCAAATATTCTTGTAATGTGTAAAATACAATACATAGAACCAGTATTGAGGTTTGAAAACATGTTCTTGAAATCGATTTGTTTTTATACAAACCAAAATGTGAGGCTGCTCAAAATAACAGGAAGTGGAGAGATTAGAAATTTTGAGCCGTTAACTCTCAGTAAATCAGATGTTCGTCAGTTTCTCTGAAAACTTACGAAACAGAAGCAAACAATTTTCTGGTGGATTCACAGGCTCCCATCATTCCTTACATTATTTCGGATCTAGTACCATCAGACCAGCAGTGTGTTGCGAAACTGCAGCTCATGAATTTTAATTATTACAGTGGTGTCTTCAAGCATTTTGACCATGATGGTGCTTCTCAGGTTAGTAGGATGCCAAACGCACCAGACCACACCGTATCTCATTCAAATGAGATATAGACACCATCCAATCTGAAGTTGGATTAAAATTTGTCAGGTAAGAAACGTATTCCAAGCATTCCTACTCGGAATTTACAGTACAGTGCATTTTAAGGCAGCACCCGACAAGTGATTATCACCTGTGTAGTCAAAGTAAAATAAGTAAACTTTCAGAGAAGTCTTTTGCTAAGATGTTTGTAGCAGTCAGTTGAAAAAGGAGAAACGTCGTCCACGCAAACATGGCTTGATACAAGTAACTTGAAAAATGACCCACTCTAGCCTCAAACTACCGCAAGCATTTGTTTGCTAGGCTTTGACTAAGATGTGTTGGCCAGTAGGACTCGGTGTCATAAAACTTAATTAGTGTTAAATATGTGTAAGTCAAAACGATGTTTTTAGGGATCTGATATTTCTGTCATTAAGGTTACGTTTCCTGAAGTAGAAAGTTTGATTTTAGGGACCTACACATGTAATTTTTTTAACAGTCTCCAACATTAGCCATCAGTAATCGGCGACCTTTAAAGTAAAGTCGACCTATAAAAATTATGTGCTACGTAGAAGGAAAACTGCCTCCGCATGATGTATTTACCAGATCAGCTGATTAATCCACTGCATAACTTCATAAAAAATTCGATGATCTCCATGAAAACATGTATGTAAAGTTTGTTCTATGTCGAAAACAGACAGACAGATGTAAAGGCTAATTTACATATGTGTAGAAGATAGCTTTAATATTAACGATATGTTCGGAAATAGGGAAGTGTATGTTGATTTCCTTTCGTTCCCTGTCACCGTTTTGGCCGAACTTCACCCAAACGACTACGGTCTGGGAAGCAGTTAGAATGAATTTAATTATCCAAATCTCAGTGGTACGTTTGTCCAGCGCAAAGCGTACTTTTGTCTGATTTTCAACTAAATGAGTTGGTAATTGCAAAACATTCACGTTGCCACAAATTTTGTCAGACTGAAGACTTGATATATTCAGTGCAGCAATCAAAAGTGTAGTTGATATACTCTTGTTTATTCAGATGGCAACCTTCAGTTGGGTGTTATTTTCCATATGAATAAATACTTCCATACATACACTTTGTCACTACTAAATATGAAATTAATTCTATGCGCTTTTATATATGCCAGGTGTTTACACTTTACCTTGATGTAGATCCAGCCGTAGGAGTTCAAGCAGACACCATAGAAGTTCTTCAAAGCGCAAACGTTCTCATCATTCAAAACATAAACATTCGTCTAAAAAACATCATCGCGACTCCCACTATCGAGATCGTCGTAGCCGTCATCGCCACAAGCACCGTCGCCATAGTTCAACGTCAACCTCCAGTTCATCCAGTGATTCTAGTTACGACAGCAGGTCGCGTCACCGAAGTAGTCCAGATGGTAAACGAATCACTCAAGCCTCTACAACAATTCCGAAAGATTCTGTAAGTCAGTCACTTTTATTGGTAATAACTGCATAGAACTGTTCACTTGAAGTAATCTCACATTATGATAAGACGAAGCTTTTTAGAGTTTTTATGACTGAGTCTTCAAAATGTATTAGTTTTTTGTAAAAGTAGGTGTTGTAGCTTCACGATTTATAGGTGTGTTTATGAGGAACTTCATAGAATAAAGTATCATTCTATTTAACTAGACTATAAGACAAAGTACTGCGAAAAAGATGTATTCTCAAGGGCATAATAAAAGCTTCACATTCGCATGTTAAGATACAGCAATGAGGTTTCAGTAATTGAAAATAAACATTCTACTTATCGTATCCGTTGAGTGTAGTTTGCACCCGTTCCCTAGTTAACTCAATTATTATGTTTCACTTTTTTAGAATTCTCGGCCCAGAACAGAAAACCACGTCGTCACTTCAACAGCGCCAGTCATCTCGACCACGAAAGTCGCGGACGTAGCTAACTCGCCTGCGATTCCTAGTCAAGGTATGTATCTTTATGATAATATTTCCGCTTCACTCAGTAGAATGTTAGTGAGTTGACGTAACTGCCGAAACAAATCACTAAACTCCCACTTTTGAGATTCTTCAATCACATAAGTCACTTAGAGATGTAGAACAGTCACCAGGACTTGAGAATCTCTGGCTTAATATTTTTTCCTTTTGACTGCAGTTTGTGCCTATGAGTTTCAGTACTATGGACTGACAAATAGGGAGGTGCATACTAATGCCATCTCAGCTAACAAAACTACGCGGAACATATAAAGCCAAACGTCCTCAATGTGATTGTTCATATTTTGTTGTGGATAGACTTGTATGTGGCCTCGATGAGGACTTTTCGGAAACTAACGTGCGACTAGGGGAGGTCTGTTTAACTGAGAGCACACAAATGGCACAGGTCTTCCAGATGAAAACGCTGACAAAGTGCAGTTTCCTATACACGAGTACACTTGACATGCAGTTCACAACAGTCTAATGTAAGACTGTCATAACATGGTCTACAGTCACGATTGGGTTGACGATAAAAGAACAAGATTTTTCAATGTATTGATTACTCAACTTATTAAAGAATTTGCTTGAGCTCCAAAGGAACAATTACCGAAGAAATGGAAACCGAGGGTTGAAGCTATGAGCAGTTTCACCCAACATAGTTACGTACAATTGTTCAAGTAAAGTGGTGTCTCATGGCAAGTTATATTGAGGTCCCTTATGAAGCAAATGTTAACCAATAAAATTCGAAGCTTTTTAATTAATGTGGTGTAGACCTGTGGTGCACAGCCTTTTTTCCTGTAAGCTGGAGTGGGATTAGATTGGAAAGAGCAAAATCAAAAAATCTGGACAATGCCTAAAGCTATGTATATGCGTAATGTACTTGCCTTGTTTCTTCTGGGCTGCTTAAGGATCCCTGGCCGAAGACTCATTCTCAGTTATCCTTCATATTCAATAATCATTATTGATATAACCCCGTCGTACATCTACATACATTTGGATGCTGTCTCGTAATGATTCACTTCAGCCCAAAGTATGGTGGCTAAGACCGTTGAACTTTTGAGCTAATTTCTACTCTGTTTGTCAATGCATTTTTGAATTTTATAAATATGATATTATTATTAACACCGTAGACCTTTACATACTGGTGAGTCTTTAGTAGTAGCGCAAATATCATAGTATGACCAAGGAATTTAAAGCCTGTACAACACTACTATGTAAAGGTTGAATGTGTGAAGCCTTATTGTTGAACATTCGGTTTCCTGGACTCAATTTTACGTGCATTAGGTTACGAGGCATACTGCATGTGAGGTGACACTGCACAGGGCCGGTTTCGAACTCTAGACCCATTTGTTGAATGTCGAGTGCTTAAGACAACCACTCCACATCTAAAGCAATCCGTAGGTTTTTTAAGTAAGGCTAGAATTAGGATGGTGTTTAAGCATTCTAGCTTGCTCAAAGACTAACTCGGTCGGCTTTAGGAACCCATTGACTCATACGGAATTTCATCAAAATTCATGTAGTCATTGCGAAGGCAGTTGCATTTTTAGAACACAAGAATCTAGCTAGATGCGAAATAATAGGACCCGCTAGGTTAGGTGATCTGTATTAACTTAATCATCGCCATGCATAGTCACATGATTAGTTTGAGCAAGTTGAACACATCTAATGACCGCAAAGTAATATAAGTAGGTGAAGACAGTTTAATCTCCGATTCTTTGTTCATAGAATCAACAAATATTCTAATACGAATGACATAACACTAATTTCGGATTTAAGCAATATTATATCGAAAGAGGGAAGTAAAACTATACGAAGCGAACGTGGAAGTATGAATGCATCGACGTGATCGCGAGTAGCTGTCCTAAAAATTATGCACTTATTAATATTTTATCACCGTTATCCTAAATAAATCTACCTGACAGAGAATTGTAGTAACCTTAGGTCACTGATATGTGCCCTGTGTTATAGGTCGTCCTCAAACAGTGTGAGAATTGATTAACAGTTCTACTGTGAATGGGAACTTATGAATCGCCACATGACCAGATCCAAACGCTTAGCGTAGGCGAATAATATTCTAGTCCTTATGGTGTAAATCAGGTCTTCATTTCAAAGCTTCCAGAATATACCATGTCGGTTATTATTCAATGAAACGTGTGACATGCACTAAAAATATAAAAGCGGTCTTTTTTGATTGCATTAAGAATGTACGAACTTTATGATGTCCAGTTTTTATGTGTAATTTGTAAAGGTTCATTGATATCCGTTTTCAGTTGTCTGCTCTATTGAACGTACGGAATTTGTTCTGTAGGTGTCTCCACAAATACTACCCTTCAAAAGCTGACAGCACAAGATATTCTGGATAAAATTCAAAAGCATCAACAGCAGCAGGCTAAAGCCCAAGCATTAGCTGCGGCAGCGGCTGCTAATCTTCCGAAATACTATAATCCTACGACGGTTAATGCTGTTAAGCTGGCTGAGCAACAAAAAAAGCGTAAATTGTTATGGTCAAAAAAAGACAATGATAACACAAACTCTGTAAGTTTTTGCAATTAATGTCGGTAGTTTTTGTTCAAGATTACATTAATGATTGGGTTTCTAAATAATCAAGCACCTTCATTTTTTATTTAGGACAGCAAGACTTTGTGGGCAACCACATCTTTAATTGCTGGGAAAGGTGATTCTGCCGCTGCAGCTAAATTCCGAAAATTAATGGGCATTCACGACACTACCGAAGAAACTGTGGATGGAAATACGTTACAAGCAGATGAAACTGAAGCTATAAAGCGTGCTGAAGCTCAGGCAGAACTATTCAGGCGCCTAGAGCATGAATACGAAATGTCTCGTACTATAACTCACACACAACGGGGTGCTGGTCTCGGTTTTAGTTCCGCTAGTCATGTCGACTATAGTGCATATGCTGCAATGCAACCTGACAAAGATAAAAACCCTAACTTTTAATTGTATTTGACTCATTTCTTATCTCATGTACAGCTCAATAATAATAATAATAATTTCTCTTATGCTTCACTTCTTTTAATTATTCACCGGAGAAGTATACAAAATATTTGTCTGGTAACATTTTAATTGAAGAACTTTGTGTAAATGGGATGGAAATATTTAGAGATAGGACTCGCTGAACATTGGTAAAGTCAGTTACCTGGAAATGAGAAGCAAATGTTCAAGATCACAGTCGTTTGGTAAAATTGACATTTACAGTAATGCTAACAACTACTTTTAATAGATACTAGTTGCTTCCGCGACTTTTCAGTGTAGTAGGAATGGGGGCAGAGTGCATTGGCGAATGGATACAAACGATTCACCCACAACTGGAAATTCGTTTAGACCCTTTTCATCCTACGCTACTCATTTTATTTCCACGTACAAGCGGTTTCGCGTTCCTCACCGATATTCGCTCCTTGTTCTGTCTAATACTGCGAGTAGCGTTTATTAAGTTATTCTACAGTACGCTATCCAACGCAGCGTGTTATGTCGGGGATTACAACATCTGTATTTTGAGGCATATCGAAATTATTTGTCCTAAGGGACTTTCAGTTGCAGCCTATGTGCCTATAAGTCACCGACTTCTGACGCTAATTGGCAACTTGCAGATCCTGAAAGTATCACTGCGGGTACCTAGCATCTCCACGTACTTAATTTCCACTAACTCGATAGGATTCCTTGAGCCTGGTAGCCATATGGTCTAATTATTTCTACGAAGCGGTAGCGAGCGCTCTAACAAGAGAGTGATCTACTGTTGGAACACACAAGTTTTGATGCCTTATGCGATGATTATGTCAGCTTTCAGATTATTCACTGTCTCTGAACCTGTGAACAAGCTCACAAATGGCGTTGCAGACGGTACCAATTATTTTTTATGTTTGCGTCAACAAGCTCAGGACAGTGTCCTAGAGTTTATGAGAAATAGGATTTCACATCGGAACCGTCGGAGAACATGATGCATCTATCCAGGTCTTACATTAAAGATCATACGTGGTGGATGCCTTCCTAACGGTTCCTCTAGCTACCACCTATCCCTTTTAAACTTTATGCACCCCGAGTTTTGGTGACCATACTGTAATGAAAGTAGGTAGTCCTCATATGAAGTAAAATTAGCACTTTATTTTCCACATAATTTATAGCCACTGACGTCACATTTTTCACCAACTCGTGTTGTTTGATTAGTTACTACTGCATAAATGTAATGCGGCAGTGCATTTTTTTTCCTATTTAGGGGAATACAAATGAAGACGAACATTTTGTGTACTCAATCAAAAAATAACATAATTCGAAAAATTAGTTGTTGATGTTGATAATTCACAATTGCTAATTTCTCCACAAGCGGTCATCTTTTGTTTACAGATTCATTTATCAAGAATGAGTGAAGTTCATCAAAGGTTCGGATTTCATTGTTATTGGTTGAGGGTTGTATTCTCCACTTTTCTGGAAAGAAATCACGCAGACGCTTATTGAAATCCTCCTTGTCTTTTGGCTTCATAATAAGCCATATGAGTAGAGATAATGCACCAAATGACGATGTTGTGATGGCTGTTGCTACACCAAGGGCACGAAAAGCCAAATGCACACCCGTCTCGTTTATGCCTTTGTTGTTACTAAATGCCTGTAGGAAAGTTTCATATGCAGCGGTTAAAGTAAATTTATCTTGTTCTAGATTAAAACAATATAAATAATGTATTAAATCTCATTGCATGACTTGGTGACCTTGGGAGGAAGAGGAATAAAATGTCGTTGTGTAACAAAAGAGTCGAGAAGCCACAACAGTGGATGAAATTATTTTGGAGCTACCGTATACGATAGTTTCGCCAAAGAAAATCTTCAGAAATCAGAGTGCCTGGATTTCTCGATCAGTTTACAAATCCGTTAGCTAGGCCCACTGAATAGTAGTGTTGCACAGTAGCTTTAGTCACGCAGAGTACGTGTGACAGACATGGTTTGTGACAACAGTAAGCGTCATTTGTTGGAAGCTTCAGAAGTTTACAAATTCCCTCCTGTACCAACTATACCTAAAAGTGACTCACCCAATGGCCGTGCGTAGGTGTCTGTGACTTTGGGATAGTTAGAAATGTTACTCTAATTTGTTCTATTAATAGTCGAAGATCACTAAGCTTCAACTGACATTTTTAGTATATTAACGCACATTTTACGCTTTTAAAAGGGGTGATTTAAACTGCATCTTACAAATGGCTGATTGTGTTAATATTATTTATGAAGTTTAAGAAGTCTTTCAAGCATTTAAATTTTGTCGTTGAGCGACTTAGAAAAAGACATTTTATGTTATAGATCAATTAAGGTAGGTTTGTTTATTCATAGTTCAACTCACTTGCGTGATTGGTAGCGCGTGAACCTTTTTTAATGACAATATTCTGTATGCAAATCCGGCCATTAGGGACAAGCCAGAAAACCCCGCAAACGAAGCTAGAACTTAACACTGTTAGTCCGAAACTACACGTTCTTACCTAAGTAGTTGGGTTTGTCTGCGTCACTTTTGACGCTATTTTTCTCCGTCATAATATATTGGACACGTTAAAATCCGAGGGGTTGCTGAAAGAAATAAGTGGAAAATGATGCATACAACTATTTGAGTTAGAAAAAAATCTCCCAATCATCCATGCAGTGCACATTGAAGATGTGTGAATATGAAAAGTGTGATTTCAGCGACAAAGTTAAACTTTAAGCAACACTAACTACCAAGCAGCGAATGACCTCGAACGCACCAATCACGTGAAGGAGGCATTTTTGTGTATGGAGTACATATATTTATGAAATAAATGCATAAAGACTGTAGAAAAGTGTTACAGAGCATACCTTCCTCTCACATGTGATAAAAATAGCTCTCAGTTTTAGGGTGGAGTATCAACAGACCATAATTCCATTGCGGGTAAAATTTATTTTGATAAAGTTCCACAGTGTAATACAGTAGTATTTACTGAGCAGTAGATTGTGCTCGAAACGTCATCGGCAAATATTACTGTATAACACTGTGAGACTTAATCAAAATAAATTTTACTCAAAATGGAATTATACCCAACCACAGTGCACAAGTCCTATTCTTATATCAAAAGAGTAATTTAACCACATTCTATGCATGTAATTATTTAGGTCTTCTAAAACTAAGAATAACCCTAATTTTTCCTTAAAATAACCCTAATGTGCGAAAATCTCCAAACTAACTGTAATCTAACTCGAACCAAACCTACTGTCACCTTTGTTAGGTTAACGTAACCCTAACTTTTTCTTGGCTTAAAGAATAACTTAATCTTTCCCAAACCTAGGCTGAAACTTGCCAGACATTCCATTTAGCAGGATACCACTTCTATAAGCATATTTTATCGATGATCACAAGATTACTTGCCGGATTTCACTAACATGCTCAGTGAGTGTTTCAAGGTCATTGGTGCGGTCGCACTCCATTGGTAGTTAGTAGTGCTTAAAGTTTAACTCGGCCATTTCAGCACATCTGATTTTAGTGACAACTAGTACGCTTATGTGTCGTGTCGTGATGTACTGAATCACGATTTGCATTCGTAACGTTTTATTATTTGTATGTTTTAACACAGAGACAAAACAGATTAATCTTTGAAAAATGTTTCCGCGAATACACAGGATTCACATTATTAAAACGGTTTCGCAAAACTACGCTGAAAAACAACCCAAAACATGAATATTTTCAGAATACTTTGGTCTTCACGACACACAGGAGTTAAGACTACAGAAGGGGAGAATTAGAGGGAGTGACATCAAAAGTTAAATTTTCGAAGAAGGAAACACTAGTGCGATATGTTTTATTTGTAATTATTTATGCAACAACAATATTTGATAGAAATTACTAAAAACTGAAAAGTGAGAATATGTCTGTTTCCCCTCACAGAACAGGTGATCACACAGAAAATCCTGATAGGAGGTTAGTAAAACTATGCTTCAAGAAACGTGATCGCATACATTATAAAGTATACAAAAAGGAACTTTTAATCACATCCGTGTATGACAATTTCCAAGACTTTATGAAAGTTAAATCTAAGACACTTGGATTGTATTTGGCTTCTTGTGTAGTGTATTACGTAGATTCTCAATTTCGTTCTCTTGCAAGTGTACCTCAGCAGTAGTTTCAGCAAGCTTGTGAAAAAAAGAGAGAAAAGAAAAGCAGTTTTCATATGAAAATCTACCTCAAATCATATTATATGCGAAAATAAAACTTAAAGTATAAATCAGTGATATGATTGTAAGAAAAAAAGTTCAGAAACCATACCATGTCTAAGAGGATATCGATTTTTAATTTCAGCAAGTTATTTTCTTCAATAAGCTGGTGATTTTCTTTTTTAATGCGGAAAGTTTCACGTCCTAGTTGAGCGGAATTTACAGACTCTTCTAAGCCAGCGTTTTCCCCCTCTAAAATAAAGAAAATAATTACAACATGTACAACGGGATTTTTCAAATGCAGTGTATTTCATTACAGATATGTGGATTCGCTACTATCCCGAAAAGATTACATTGTAAGTGACTTATCCTTAGTTGGTTCAAGTTGAAGGGATCGGATTTTCTAGACAATTACCTTCATTCAAGTGGTAGTAATTATTACCCTATTTTCGCATTGTATCTTAACAACGTCAAAATTGGATAGGAGTAGGTAATTTTTTTAAAATTTACGCAAAAACAACAAGTACTCGGAATAGGGTCAGTGCTTTTTACGAGTGACCAACAGGGTGCAGCAGGTCGGGTGTGAGGACAAATACTCGCCGAAGACATTGGCTAGCGGTTGCGCTATGTGGTGAATTGGCAGAAGTTAGAATTCATGGGCCATTGGATCGGGTCCCAGTGGCTTAATGGTATACGAACTCGCCTTGCAACCAGAAGATCCTGGGTTCGAACCCCGGTGGGTGCGTACTGTCGAAGAGTCCCAAACTAGGACGAAACGGCTGTCCAGTAGTCCCAGGTTTTCCAATGGTTCTCTAACCAATGTCAGTTCATGATGAAATCCTGTAACCAAATATATAAATGTTCATAGCTAGAAGACTGTAACTCACCTGATGAGATGATCTACGAACAAAGACAAGAGATAATAACTGTAGGCTTTTATTTACTATTGATTCTTTATTGTTTTTATTCTCAAAAACTCAGACAAGACAAAAAAAATAACAATGACAAGTCGACTAGTACATAGTGAATATTGGATTAAGAAATGCTTGAAACTGTAAAGTAATGCAGTGGAATTATTCAACAGATATTTTGCTGAACAATTCTTTTAATAAATATCATTCAGCTAACAGAGGATTTCGAAAAAACACTAAAAAATACTTTCCATTAGTAAAATATGATGTCTTTAAACTGCACAGTAACAAGTTTACAGATGAAATAATGATATTTTTTTAAAGCAACAGTGTATGAGAGTATTCTGAGCACTAAATTTTGAGAGAAACAATAAAATCGAGTACACGTTTACGAAACATTTCAACTCGGAAAAAACAGTGGTTTTATGCTTCATGTACAAAGATATAGTGAATCAATTTACAACATTTAATGAAGGTATAAGAAAAATTATAATATATTATAAAACATCTGATATTTCTTTTGGCGACCTGTTTAAAACTTGGGCTACCAAAAACTTCCATCTCCCTTATTACATATATTCTCTATCGTTCGGTTTGTTTTAATCGATTAAGAAATGACCTATAGTAGTATTATCTACTCTTGTATGTATTTAAAATGTTTACAAGCTTCTGATTCGCAAGTCCCTACTAAACTTGAGAAATGGCCTGATTGTGAGTGGCAAAGTGTCCCAATACATGATATAATTGTTCTTCAGTTATGTCCTTGGGTCTCAGAATATATCGTGGATTTCTCTAAGGAGACAAAGCAGACAAAACCATAATGGAATGGTTTGTGCTTCAGCTTAGAGACCATTGTGTCACAGGATGTACTGGGAATTAATATTTTACTTGAAGATACTGTGCGAAGGGAAAATATCATACAATAAGCTCCTCTGAAAATTCTGTACATTTTATTAATACTGTCGAGAATATAGATATTATTATTATAAGCAGAATACCGCTGAGGCGCAAGAAACAATACAGCAGTTCAGAAGCAACAAAATGAAACTTGTCTTTAACCATCTAACTACTTATTCCATATAGTCAGTAGATTGGATCAGCTGTATATGCATCTTAGTTCACTACTGTGCCAAAGAATTATTGGTGATTCCTTGTTGTGATTCACGAAAACCATTTTCAAGATCCAATCACTGCAATTCATACAGAACAAACGCTAAAATTGCCTACGGTGATGATCATCATGCTGCCAGGCTAGTCAAAAACAGTTTAAAGTGAACACCGATTTAGATAGCAATCTTTACATATTTGAACAGTCCAATAAAATAACAGGATACGGTTAATTGTCAAAATACACCTCGATAATCTGTTCCAGTACGATTTAAGTAATGCAATGAGGTGACTAAATAACTTTACGAAGGGCCTATTGCGGTGAGTGCTACTCATAATCAGATATAAGTAGTATATCAGTAAACGAATTCAAAAAAGTAACAATATGTTTCGGACAGTGGAAAAAGCAACCGAGAAACAGAACTGTAAGAAGAAAGTTAGAAACACTGTGCAGAATCCAACAAACTATCGAATGTGGTGACATTCGCCCAATTTGAAAATGATGTGCAAATAAAGCATTGGAGATAGTTTACCAAATTTATTTACCTACAAAGCGTTTGTCCTAATATACGTGGACTTCCATCCTCATCGGTCTTTTGTTCTTTACAGTACGAATTCAAAAGCTGAGTAAGATCAGCGGCAGAATTTTTCTTTTTGAAGTTTCAAATAGGTTTATAGAACAAATATGCTGTGAGCATACATAAAAGGATTCTGCAATTTTTTCTCGCTTGACTATCCGTCTTTTCATCTTCAACCAAATTCAACAGATCCATGAGTTAAAATTCCTATGTAAATAGGTCTACCTTTGAACATAGTAACCGTTAAATTACTCGAATTGATAGACGATAAATCTCAACAGTTCAAAATCAAACTGAACAAAGTTTAGATGGTTGGAGGCAATCGGCAGGAAGCCATGCTTGACATAGGTTTCGTGCTAGCTGGCGCTCACCAGTCAGCAAGGCGTATCTGCAACCTCGAAGGAACTCATATCCTTTCTGATATTCGAACCCGCGTCACCTAGTGCTGAAGTCAGAGACGTTACCACTGGGCTATTCCGGCTCGCGATCGACCTCCTGTAGGACTGTATTGGATACTAGTAACTAGTGTGATGTGTCTAGTCTTTCCTTTGGTGCAGACTGAATTCTGTCAGTCAGGTTTGAAATGTGGCCACCACTCTAGGTAGATCGCCAACACGATGCACATTGATTTCATGATATTAGATGGTTGGAGGCAATAGACTGACTGGTAGAGTTTAGTCTGCACCAAAGAAAGGACTAGATACATCACACTAGTTACTAGTGTCCAATCAAAGTAAACAAGGTTTATTGTCAAAGTGATATTATACCTAATCATATAATCAAACTGAGACGAGAATAACCTTCAAATATGGCGACTTCCCAAGGGAAAATTAACAGAGTTTCTAAATACAATTAACATAAAAATGCAACAGAACTTGACAACTACTAAAATGAACCATCACTGGCAGAGTAAAGAAAGAAATAAAGAGCTCAATCTAATAACACGCAAAATGTCTAGTTTGTTTACACACAAAATCAATACTAATCTCAGAAGAGACGACATATATAAAATGATAAGATAAAAATATGCATGTCTCACTGACTGATGGACGTGAAAGTGTCAGTAGAATAAAAGAGCCTATGAACTGGATGATTCCATTATAAATACACTTTCATTGGGTGTGACAGATACCTAACATATAAAAATACTCATTTGATTACAGTCAGCTATTCCTCTTATAGTTAAAAGTAATTGATGACGTAGCGAATACTTATACCGCCATTTCATTGTTTTTTAAACTTCACAAAAAGTGACTTCATTTAGCAATGGACTAGAAATCTGTTCTGATCTGAATAACTAAAACCAAATGAATTTAAAAATAGATTTATAATCAATAAACTAAACCATCTTACCGATGATCCATTGACCATTTCGAAAAACAAGATCACGTCCACTTAAGCGTGTTCTGATTGGCCCAAAATCAGTACTGAATTCTTGACTTCTGGTAGTTGAACCAAGATGGGATAAATTTGTCATGCTAGATGCTTTTCGAGCAGGAAATTTCGGCACACTAAACTTCCTTTGGAACAATGGCATCTTGGCTTTAAAACGAACGGTATAAATTATGCAATGAAAGAGAAATTTATTGGGGTAATATCCAGTTAAAAAACCAGACAGTATAATGGTCAGGGAAAATAAGCAGAAGGAATTATAGGTAAGTAATTTTCACTTAATTTAGGCACCAAGATTTTGTGTTTAAAATATCACTTAGCATTGACCATTTTCGTAACGTAAGGGCTCGTCATACGTTTTGCAGATTGACTGTTGAAACCGCAACATCATGTGGACGTCAATAAGTGAAGCGGTTTTACAAAAAAGCACTTATTTGAAATCTACGTCTCTTAGACTAACTGTTATACATAAGCTGTGATAGATGCATGTATGCCAATACATAAAACTTTACGCTTTTCTGCCGCTCAACTTCTCAAAGATATTTCAATATGACAGTATTTCATATCAGACATCGAGTTTAATTTCAATATAAAGAACGTGACTGGGAAGCTGACGCTGAGTTTATACAAAAAATCCTATCGATAACAAAGTTTTCATAACTACAATAAACAGTAGGATTTAGTTGACAGTGATGCTTGTAAAAGAAGCTTTTTAAATACTGACAGGTTAGGATATGAATCTAAATGCCTGAAGCTTATAGTGGTTTTTCTACACACAACCTCAGAAATTCTCATCCTATAAACTTTTCCCAACGACTAACAGAATAAATTTTGTGGAATAAGAGGTTATGTTATGTTAACCATAAATTTCAAGACGGTTAAATAAATTATGACAGGAGAACACAAAATATAATTAAAGGGTTTAACAATTTGTGTTAAAAGAACCATCTATTATTTCACAAAAAGTAATAGATATGTAGCTTACTTTTCCTAAGAGATTTCTAGCCGAAATATATACAAATTTACATGCATCTGCGGGAGCTGTTACATTGGAAGAACAAAAAGAAGGGCATACCTCCAATTTTATGAACAGGGAACAAATGATTTAAACAGTGCCATTGCCAGGCATCTACTTGACACGAGTCATGAGGTGGACGTCGTAAGATCGTTCAAAATTATCAATAGGTAAAGAGTTCAACTCTCCTCAAGTTTGCCGAAGCAATGTCCACCGAGCGCCTGAAACTGGATTTATGCATTCATAAAGAAGCGGTTATCAGTCTATTAATGCCCTCTACCCTCTCCTTCATCTGATTACGTAATGCCGAAAGATTCCATTGTGTACGATCATTATTCTTTGGGATAAAGTGTTTATTATTATTAGCATTAGCATTGTAGGCATATATTGTTTGATTTTCGCTTAAAAATGAACTGTGTGCAATTATGTTAAAATTGTTTCTGTTGATTTACAAAATAATGACTTTGGCCTGTAAGCAGCTGATGAGAAGCCAACGAAATAAATGATGGTACCATTTTATTCTGCAAAAACTGTTGTTCTTACTTTATTCAAATTCATTAAAGAGAATATAGGCATGAAATAAAAAAAATCAATAGGAGACTCAGCGAGTATATTCACACTTACTCTATAACTAATACGATTTATTCATTAAGCCGTTTTTAAATGTACATTGAGTACAAATTCGCTTGATAATATATAACATAACACAAACATACTAAATTATGAAAAGCACACATAGTGACTTGAAATATCATAGAATTGTGCAAACAATCATGACAGTCAAACACTTATCAGTACATACAGTCTCTATTGATAAGAAAAAAAAACAGTTAAAAGGATGCACAAAATTAATTTTATTCAATTCTTGTTTTACAAATCATGTATGACAATTCCAACAAGTGGAAAAGTGAAATCCGCATTGACACTGAGAATAAAAACAACAAACAACAGTGAATACTGATTTTTTCTTTTTATTCCACTGAAGACACAAATTACACTGTTGTCATTTTTCTTAAAAATTGAACTGGTTTAAGGAAAATTCACTTGTCAGCAGTAGCGTGAATGTTGACAATAAAGCTGAATGAAAATAATTCTATATACAAATAATGTGAATAGCTCAACAAAGCAAATCAAACATTTCTATATGTGAACTGTAACCTGATTTATGAAACGCAGTTGATCACTAATCTGTGTATGGAGTGTTTTTGCGAGTAGAATTGCCAAAAGCTGTAATAAAGAAGGAAAACAAAAGTAGATCTCCATAAAAAATATCAGTTCAAATAAACTAAAACGCAATGTACAACATGGTGCGTCGTTGGCACAGCGGTAGAATGCTCATCGACCAGGCAGGTGGTTCGGGGTTCGATCCCTGGTCGACGCACTCCCTTAACTCGCTAAGCTAGTAATACGACTGGTAAAGAGGAAAGGTTGGGTATAAGGTTAGCTACCCAATCTCGTAAAAATAAATACCACTGCTACTGAAACTTCAATACTCTAGCTTGAAGCTCTATGTTCCATTGGGAATGTAAGGGAAAAAAGATGTACAACATGTACAGTTCAAATGAATGAGGAATAAAAACAATACACCTATCAAACAGTGAACGCAGTAAATATTCTAATACTTGCTTAATTATAACAACAATATTCAAAAAAAGGAAACAGAAGCCTTTATGCATACGACTGCAATTCAAGGGTGACGATGCAGCTAGTGAAATAATTACTAACAAGTTAAGAAAATCGATTCAAAGAACTTTTAATGCTGGTAAACCACAAGTCATGTTTTCTACACAACCGATATTGATTCTTCAATGGAAAGATGAAGTACCTAGACTAGCCACTTCTAATTGTATCTGCCAATTCAACCGTGCTTGTGGAGCGAGTTATATTGGCCGTTGCTTTAGCAACTTGATTTTTCGCCCTGGCTCAGGAACATCTACCAGTGTGGCTAAGTAAGGGTGTAGTAAAAACCATCAACAGTTCAATATTAGACTACCCGGTTCAAACCGACCACGAGGCTAGCATTGGAAAATCCTTCCCTATCATCTACCGGGTACCTAATAAATTGCCAAAAACATCCAGGTAAGGCATACTCCAAACAGCAGAGCCTATCGCGATTCGCCTTAAACAACCGGTGCTCTGTGTCCGGAAGAAGCAAGTCCAGCCATTACTATTGCCCTGGCCTTCAGTGGAGATGATAAATTCATGAATTTGTATTATTATTTTTCCTAATTTGAAGAGAGAAAGAACGAACATGTTTGCAGGATAATACGAGCTCGTTTTATTTCGTGGATACTCATCCAGTGCATACATCCTAAACAATCCTAAACAAACCAACATCAAATTCTGTAATTATGTTCCTTATACCTTCTACTTATAACTCCAAGTAATTATGAAAAAGTATGTTCCAAAACTTTTTTGAAACTTATAATTTGATTTTGTTTAGGATGTATGCAGTTGATGAGTATCTACGAAATAAAACGAGCTCGTATTATCCTGCAAACATGTTCGTTCTTTCTCTCTTCAAACTAATAAAGGTAACCGGTTGTATGAAATTTTCCTAATTTTTCTGATATTCATTCACTGTATTGTTGTGTTGATGCTATAGAACTGTAATCTATTGATATTATTGGTTCGATGTTATTTGAACAAATTTAATGCTGCTAATAACACTAATTCACTCACTAATATGTATATATACAACTGTAGAACCTGGTGAAGTAGGCGTTATCAAAAAGGATGTTCTTTGTTCAGTAACCATCCTTTTGAAAAAATTTAATGGGTATTTTTAATCAGTTAGAGTAAACATTGTTGTAAATATTGTAATCCCCAACTAATCACACAACACTATTCGAAAGCAGAAAATTCAGCATATTCATAAATCACTGTCAGGTAGAACTTGTTAACTGACGCACTATTTGAGTTCAGTGTGAAACGACGAAATGATTAAACTATCATTAGAGGTGAATTTATCAAATGAAAGTGATAAATGATCATCATTTCAACTGAAACCTGAATAAGTTTATATTTACACTGCACAAAATTAGTTCTTTTCTGGTGCTTTTTAACCTTTGAACTAGCATAGTTTTCACTTTTCCAGAGCTCTCTAAATGAGCTGTACATGATAAACTGATTCATTCAATCAATAAACAACCATATTTTCAAGTACTGGTTTGTAAGGGATTCAACTGAATGGTTACAGGATTTCATCATGAGCTGACATCGGTTAGAGAACCATTGGAAAACCTGGGAGTACTGGACAGCTGTTTCGTCTTAGTTCCGTCCTGAGATGCTCACTAGCGACTAGCCTTAATCAGGTAGGTAGTTACGTGAGGTTCTAGTGGGAAGTCGTGACCAGTAGGGTGCAGCAGCTCGGGTGTGAGGACAAATACTCGACGAAGACATTGGCTAGCGGTAGCGCTATGTCATGAATTGGCAGAAGTTGGAATTTATGGACTGGTCAATGGATCGGGTCCCAGTGGCTTAATGGTCTACGAGCTCGCCTTGTAACCAGAAAGTCCTGGGTTCGAACTATGCTGGCGGGTGTGTACTGATGAAGGGTTTCAAACTAGGACGAAACAGCTGTCCAGTACTCCCAGGTTTTCAGTGGTTCTGTAACTGATATCAGCTCCTCTGACCAAATAACTACATTATTTTTCTACATGTTAACACTGTATATATCCGTTAATCTATTTATGCCAGGAAGATTTCCAACATAATGCATTGAGAAGTTAACATGAATCTGTGATACACTGTAAATGATAGTGAACTGAAAAATTTCAACACGAATCGATCCAACCAACTAGGTGCTGTTCATACTTTAGGTGGATTAACACAGGAACACAAAAGTTAATGGTTAAAGGTTAATCTAAGTGCACAAATTTTACATGAATAATGTACTTCAAGCATTTTTATTTATGGAAATCATACAGTAAGATTATCTGAAGACTATACAACAAAATGATTTCATTACTTACTTGTAATACAGCTACACCACTAACTCCACAAGCAAAAGGAACTATATTAACTTCTACCACATTGACAAGGGCTTGTACACAACCAGTTGTCCATACCAAACGACTAGCTGCTGTGCTAGTTAACTTTTGCACACCAAAACCACATGAAGTATTGAT